ACCTTCAGCCGCCCAGCGGGCCGTCTGATGCAAGGGGCGGCGCTCGGCCGCGCGCGCGGCCGCCGGCTGAAGGCGGGGCGGTCCTCCGCACCGACCTGCTGACGGCGCGCGGCCGCCGGCTGACGGCGGGCCGGCCGATCGGTCGCCGGCCGTGCCGTCCTGATGATATCTAGCGGCCGACTCCGTCATGCGGGAGTGCCCCGGGCTGGCTATAGGGCGGTCAGGGGGCCATGTCTGCGACACTGCTGTACTGCCAGCGGCCGAGGAGGGGTTGTCGGCGGCGGCGGCGACGGCGATCGGGACGCCGGGCGTGAGTGGGGGCCGCGCGTCCGGCGCAGCCCGCCGACCCAGTTCAGAGCCGTGTCCAGGTCAGCTCGGCACCCATCCTAACATCCGGCTGGGGGGGGGGGGGGGGGGGGCAGGGGGCTTGGCCAACGTGCCCGCTCACGACTGGGCTTACGTCTTTGCGGTGAGGCTTGGTCGTTGCAATCGTGTGTGCTCCCTTTTGAGCTATTATATCAGGGCCATTTCAGGCCACGCGACTTTTGAAGCTACGTCTAAGTGAAGTCTGCAGGGTGACGGTTTAAAAACATGCTCTGCTCTTGTTTATTTTAGAAGTCGTTGCACTGGCCAGCACTATGCATTTGTATGATACACTTGTAAATGTGCATTTGCTTAAAAGTTACGGACTGTTCCTTCAGCTTACCTTGCTATCCAAACTATGCGGGAAATGCTGTCATAACCGCGACTCAAAACGGGAAAATGCACCCGTGAGACCGTCTGAGGCCGTCTGAGACCGTCTGAGACCGCAGACGTGACATGCGTGAGACCGTCTGGCCGTCTGACTGAGACCGTGATAAGCCTGAGACCGTCTGAGGCCGTCTGAGACCGTCTGAGACCGTCTGAGACCGCAGACGTGACACGCGTGAGACCGTCTGACCGTCTGACTGAGACCCTGACACGCGTGAGACCGTCTGACTGTTTGAGACCGGGACGCGTGTGAGACCGTCCGACCGTCTGCGACCGTGACACGCGGAGACTATCCGACTTTCTGAGACCTCACTGCCTCCGCCGCAGCGCTGGCCGGCGGCGCTGACAATGCCTACATCTTCGAGGAACCGTTCAACATCAGCGACATCCGCGAGGACATCTACCACATCATCAAGAAGATGGAGGAGGGCGGCATCCAGCGCGGCCTGATCCTCAGGTCGGTCTCCGGCCCGAACGGCGGCTACTGGCGGAGGGGTCCGGCGGTGTGGGAGGAGTGGCTGCACTGGGAAACGGTCGGCCTCAGCTTGTGTCACTGTCGGCGAGATCCAGTGGCTGCTCTCTGCCTGGGATGATATGGGAGTGGGATGTAAATGGCGGTGCAGAGTGTTGCGCGTTAGATATCACGTTTTGGTGGCGAAAAATTGACGTAACATAAATCGTTTCATGAGGCCACAGGACTGCGCTGATCACAGCTGGGGAACTTAGTTGCCTTCTACGGCCTGCATTTGACTTCCAACGCGTGTGCTTTCGGCGCTGCACCACCTTTCGACGCGTGCTCGTAGCCACAACCTGCAGCTGAAAACTTATCATACATTGCAGGAACGAGTATGCCAACGCCAACTACACGACGGAGTTCCTGCACCAGGTGTTTAGCGAGGAGGGCAAGAACGTCTTCTCTTGTCGCATGAATGTGCTGGGTGAGTGACAGCTCGCGTCAATTATTGCAATCAGTCTAGGCTTCGAATCTCCGGGGCCGCCGCATTGGCAGGCGACGTGTACTTGGCGGCAGACCTATGACCTAAAACCCTAGCGATGGATTAGCGGGCGGTACGATCAGCTGGCTTAGCGGCCGAGTTCAGTCGTGAAGGGTATAGGTTGCGGAAGCTTGTAAGAAAGAAATCAAGGGTAGTCAAGAGACAGTGTCGCAGACCGGGACGCCAAACGTCGCTTGAACGGTCTTTCGAGTTGACTGATGCTCTGACTATGTGAGTTGTGGGCTGGCCAGATGTTCGAACCTCGGAAGCATGTGTCTCGTTCTTCATTGTCACGTTGCATGCTCAGGAACGGTTGAATGCAGCCCGGAGGTGTCCTTGACCTGACCCCGATCGCGGTTGCAGGTCACATGCAGCAGGGCGGCTCGCCCAGTCCGTTCGACCGCAACATGGCCACCAAGATGGCTGCCAAGTGCACCGACTGGCTGGTGAAGGAGATGGTCGCGAACACGAAGTCGGACGGCACGGTGTTCACCAACGCGCCGGAGAGCGTCTGCATGCTCGGCCTGCGCTCGCGGCGCTACGAGTTCATCCCGGTCCGGGATCTGAAGGCCGAGACCGACTGGGAGTGAGTATAGAGCACGGGCCTGGCGCGCTGTCGCTGGTCCACTCGCTAGAGGTGGAGGCTGACTGGGAGTGAGTATGACACGGGCCCGGCGTGCTCTCACTGGTCCACTCGCTGGAGGCTGAGACTGAGAGTGAGTATGACACACGGGCCCGGCGAGCTCTCGCTGGTCCACTCGCTGGAGGCGGAGGCTGACTGGGAGTGAGTATGACGCACGGGCCCAGCGTGCTCTCGCTGGTCCACTCGCTGAAGGCTGAGACAGACTGGGAGTGAGTATGACACACGGGCCGGGCGTGCTCTCGCTGGTCCACTCGCTGAAGGCTGAGACAGACTGGGAGTGAATATGACACACGGGCTCGGCGTGCTCTCGCTGGTCAGCTCGCTGAAGGCTGAGACAGACTGGGAGTGAGTAAGACACACGGGCCCAGCTTTCTCTCGCTGGTCCATTCGCTGAAGGCCGAGACTGAGAGCAAATATGACACACGACATGCGGGTGACCCGCCGAAGGCTGGGAGTGCCTGGCACGGCTGAGTAATGGGGTGTAAGTCTGTCCAGTCCTTGAAAGTAGAGAAGTCGATACTGACATAGTCAAGGGCTAGTGGCGTGACCGGGGTGAGGGGCATCGAGGATAATGCTCCCCTCCCCCCCCCACCCCCCCCCCCCCCCCTACCGCCGTGGAGGTGGCTGTGGTCCAGTACCTTTTGGCTGTGTAAGGCACACTTCGGACTTTTAAAGCGTAAAAACGGGTCCTCGAGGCATCAAGATGGTATCCCGAGCCTAAAGAGATATCCCGAATCCATAAGCAGGGCCCCTATAGCGACGAAGTGGGGCCTGACTCTAAGGACCATATGACCCGATCTGGCGGTTCCTGGACGGAACCCTAGCTTGATCACTGCTCAGGGGCAGGGCTGTGGATCCACGCGTCTTTGCCCCTGAGGGGTGCGAGTCAGTGCGGAGCGGCGAGCTCACTCTGTGAAGGCTTAGGCCGACGGGAAGTTAACGAAGGAATTGCTTTAGAATCAGACCTGGGCTGGGGGCTTAGATCTGCTGTCTGGTCAGGGATTTTGGACCCGCCACGAACGGCTTTATGGAAAGCTGTCCCGAACTTGCTGACCCGTGCCCTCTTGTTCCCGTACGAATTATAACGGAGCTGGGGAGTCGCTGCTTTGAACAGGCCAAGGCATGTGGTGTTTCGAATATGGTGCAGGGTCTGAGCAGGATGGATGTAGTCGTGGTATCGTATGCTACGCTGCGGAGAGTTGAGCGTTCATTGGTTAGTGGTTACATCTCCCCGCAGTGCCCCATGATTCCTTGTGGACACACGTCATGTGACCGCGTCAGGTAGCGGGTGCGTAGATAAATATGTTCCGAGCACAGTTATCAGGTACGTGATGAAGTGACCCAGTGATGCAAATGTTCTGAACAGCTATCGGACCTCCGATTGGTTCGGGCCAGTTAAGTGTAAATTCCCAGAAAAAAGCAAGGCAAACGATTATATCGGGTCAGTTTCCAGACCACGCACCACTACCGCAATGTTGGTTGTAAAATTATGCATTGTGCAAGAGGCCCTGTACCAAATGTGCGTATCAAAGGTTTGGAGCACCAAAGACTTGAAACGCGCCCTGGAGGTCCCGTCAGAGTGGTACGCTCTTCCTTGTTCGGGTATCTCGGCTCCCAGTAACACAAGTCACCAAATTGCCAAGCGCTTCTGCTTCAAATACTCAAGTGAAAAGTACCTGGGCGAGGTTCTGTTGAATGCGGAGCTATGAGCATAATGTAATGCGGAGGAAAGATGGGTCAAGTAATGCGGCGTCGAACGAAAGTGCATGTTAGTCTGCAATCGGGAGCGAAACTGGTGAAAAACAGACGGCAGCGCCTTAACGCGAACGAACTGCCAGCAGTTGGCGGGGCACCGCTTGGCGAGTGTAGCGCGCTACTTCGGTGCGACGTGATTGCTGAGATTTGAGGTCAGTTAAGGTCAAATCGGACCCGGTCATTGGCAAGTGAAATGTTGGGGATGCCGGTAGTGTAGTGGTTAAGGCGTCTGCGTTAACCACCGCGCGCCTGGGAAACCACAGGCACGGGGTTCGATTCCCCGCGGTGCCCGCCGTTCCTGCCAGGGTGAGAGGCAGAAGACGTCATATAGCCTCAGCAGCTGGGTGCCTTGTAAAAGCCCCAATGACCAGTGACCAACAGGTGAAATGTTAGGTTGAAAATATCATGGGCACAGGTTACTTACCACAGCTCGTCCTGGTAAAGAATAAAGAATGTCAGACGCCCTCGCCGGCATCACGCGCGTATAGAGTGTCCCGGGCGTGGATTTCTTTCCTTCCATTGGTGCTCGTCCACGCTTGGCGATGCCACCTTCAGTGCGATGTGTAACCACGTGGCCTAGTGGGGAACAAGGGTGAACTGGGCGAGGTTCTACTCAGTGATATCCCGTTCCTAAGGAGAGCATTAGAAGACGTTCGCCCCGCGAATGCTTGTCTCCATTTTACACAGCTCCGCCACGCCGCGGCCGCTGTTTCGTCGGTGCGGCCGGTCGGCGGTCGCGACGGACGAGAATCCTGTAACTAGTTTATAGCTAACCGAACTTACATTCTGATTGGTTGGTGTTTGGTCTATTGGTCGTTTCGTGTTGTTCGGATGTATTTCCAAAACAGCCTTGCTGACAACATGTAATTTGAGTAGCATTTATAAGAAATAGAGGGCGAGGTAGATACCGCCTATCCCGCCTGTTGGCGGGAAACGGTTATAGTAATGGGTAAAGTCCACACATGCTTGGCTATAGTGTTAAGCAGAAAAATAAAAAGTGCGACTTTTCATTCGATCCGTCGGATTCTCCCAAAATACCAAAGTGAAAAGAGCACATATTTGCCCAATCGATTAAAGTGGATGTCACAAGTTTTGGTCAACGTAAAAAAGTTGCACAACGCGTGACGGAACCCCGTGGCCTCGGTGACATAGGACCGCAGCGGCACGAGACAACACATTTTCGCAGGGGAGCGAACAGCCAATCGTAGGAGCAAAAGTATGTTCGGCATGCGCAGCCGGTTACGTGAAACTAAACTGACACCACCTCCAGTTCGCTGGAACAACATCCAACCAAATGACGCGTTTTTTTCGTAATGCTTGGTCACGGTCAGTAAACAACATTTAAATGACGAGACCACAGGCCAGCCATCTTCTAAGCAGTGTCATTCCGTGTGAGTGAGGACGCTAGACGTCAGGCTGCGTCTGCGTGCTGGTGCTAAACGCGTTGAAGAGTGTCATTGCCGTGCCTGCACAAACCTCTGTGTTGACTTTAAACCACCGGCTCCATTATATGATGTTTATGATCTCCATTATATTATGTTCGATTATATTATGTTTAATATGATCCACAAGATCATAGCAGCCATGTTTGTGGCCACCTCGTTCTTTCCACGCCGCAAGAGATGTCGCACCGGCTTTGGAAGTGTTGTATCTCGTAAGGCGTTAAGTCAAAGGGTGTGAAAAGACGGCAGACGAGAATGGAAATGTTGCGCACGGTAGAAATGAGCTTTTAGATGAGCACATCCTCAGATCTCGGGTCAAATCTCCAGCTTAGGCCTTGGCACGACCAACTGTCATCCTCTTGATGTTCGAACGCTGGAGATCCTCCGTACAAATTTTCTGGTGTAATTAGGTACGAAACGAGCACAATCGAAGCGCCCGAAAACCAAAATGATTACTGCTACTAAGAACGAAATGAGGTAAGCCGTAGGCGCGTGAAGCTAAGAAGACGACTTCTCAGCCGCCGATGAGATGACCAGTCTGAGCGCGGCGATTACCGGAATGCACCCTGTGCTGGGAACTGTCTAAAACAGGGATCCATCGCATCAGCAGTGCCGTCATTGTCGTCTCAAGCATATAACTTGACGTGTTGCTTAAGCTTTAGTGTTGATTTACCAGGCACTTGGTCAGAGAGGTGATCAGAGCAGTGCGACCGACGCTAGCGTTTTGGATTGCATATTGATATCGAAATTGGATAACGCCATTTTAACAATTTGTGCAGGTCAAGGCGAGCCGGCTGATAATGTTATTTCCAGCCAGGTGCCTTTTATTGATGACCATGTCGATAACAAAGTTAAGCGCTGTCCCTATGTAGATAATAAAAGAGCATTAGCGGATGGAACCCGTCACTTATTGGAAGTCATTAAAGTAAGATCATCTTATCTGTGACTTTTTCTCTTTCACCTGTCTAGCGAGGAAAAATTATTTGATGTTTAACGTCTGCGCGCAGATTTACGAATGTTTTAAGGTTAAAAGTGACCGGCTCTGCGCTTGGTAAGCTCGACAATTTTAATCGACGAAACCGAGGAACTTGGAGTCGCTGGCGCTATAAGGAGTTTCGGCCAAGCCAATGCGGAAACGCACCATTTGTTGGGAATGTTGATCCCAAGAAAAGTGGCCGATGTAGTTTTCATGGCGTGATTTTTCGGTTCTCGGGTATTGACGCACGTATGGGATGCACTCCTGAGATCGCAGGGTGATTTGTGGACGGTCCGTTCACCGACATCGCGCGGTTGTCACGCGAGTGATCTCCCCCCTGTGCCGAGAACAGGGTGATTTGTGGACGGTTCGTTCACCGATACCGTGCGGCTTGTTACGCGAGTGATATCCCCCGTGTGCCGAGAACAGGGTGATTTGTGGACGGTCCGTTCACCGACACCGCGCGGCTTGTTACGCGAGTGATCTCCCCAATGTGCTGAGAAAGCGTGTGTATTTTTAATTTCCCTTTTTATTATATATATATATATATATATAATTTTAACAATTAAATTATTAATAAAACAATAATTAAAATAAAATGATGAGAAATAAAAATAGTATTTAATTTACCCTTGCGCTGAGGTCTGGCATCAATCCCCAAAATGTCCCCAGACGGGGGTATCCATGGATGGCGCCAGAGAGCGCGTGATCGGCTGCATGCGTTGGTCCACATTCCCGTCAGCACGATTGTGCGTGATCTCCAATGCCGCCTGTCGGTCTCGCGTCGCTGTGAGGCCCGCCCACCGAGATCTGCTATTGGTCGCCGCTTGCGTCCCGCAGCCTGTTCGCAAGCGACGACGGCGCGTTTCCGATGCTTGCCGAAGTGGGAAGGCGGAATTGTGATATCGCGACATTACATGGAAATTACGCCTGGTCAGACACCTTGCATGAAACATCTTGCATGGGGACACTTTGAACGTGTTATGGGACGGCTTTCAAGAAGTTGTCAACATTGCTGCAAGAGGATTGCGATATGATCATGGCTTTTATTATTCGAACATCTCTGGGCATGGCTGCGGCAAGTGCAAGGTTTCCTTGATGTGAACAAGAAAGGCCTAAAGCTCCTGGTTTTGTTCGCATTATGAGTTTTGATGCCAAAGCAGCCTTCAGTGACTATGTCGAATGCCTTGAAACGTCTACCATTCTCATAATACATTAATGATTGCTTGATATTGTCGTTGAGCTGGTGCCGCCTGGCATCTTGAAGGTTTTTACGTCAGCATGAGACTTATGATCGAAGGTTTCCGGTCAGTGGACGTTAAGACCCGCTCTTTCCGCGGCATTACTCGTCACGCTCTCTCACAGCTCCAGGACTGAGCTTCCCGTCGCAGTTTGCTCCTAATGCATTTTTGGACGCAAGACTCACGCATCGCGTGAGTTTATAAAGCACATCTTACGTAGACGTTCGTAAGCGCATAGCTTCGTGCGAATAGTTTCAGTCAGAAGTTGGCATCCTCAAAACTTTGGGTGTGCAATTCTTCAATTTGCATTCTTCCAATATTCATTTCTCTAGGTTGCAGTTGTCCTACACACAACCAATTGTTTATATAATTTTTAGTGCATCTCTTCACACATGCAGTTTGTATCGCATTTCCTTGGTTTTCATCTCATCGCACCGTGTTTCTTCGCATGCGCAATTCTTCATGCCCCATTGCGTGGCATATGCAACTTCCTTATCGCATTTTTCGTAGGCCCAATCTTTCGCATGGCGCTGATCTAAATATGAAACCATGTATCGTTTAGGGTCTTAATTCGTGTAAGTCAGATGAGGGGTAAGCTCGCGCTTAAGCCGTGCGAATCTTAGATATTAGGTCGCAAAGATCACACACAGACACAAACTCACCGAGATGCACGCATGCCGCACCACATGACGCGCGTAAGTCATGGATTGATTGTCCGGGGAGGCGTTTGATGTATTTGCTGGTCTCGCTCTTTGGGAGGGATTTTTCAGGTTTCCCCACGCATGGGCTCACTGATAACGCAAACATAATCGCCCACTAACTTGTTACTGTGGACCAGACCGGTGACTGCACAGATATGTGATGATGCGTCAAAAAACACCCCAGCGTGATGTGCTCCAGCCGCTTGACCTACATCACGATCGGTTGCGGTCGTCAGTAGTCCGACTTTGTCCTGTATGGGTGGTATGCTTTGTCCGTCAGGGAAATTTTAGCTGACCGTGCTACATCTACTGCCTAACATCTGTACGTGGACTGCTTTCGTATACACACCAGTCGCCTTTACCAACTGCCGGCGTTTTCAAAGTCAGCAGCCAGGGCGGCTTTTGCTGAAGGGCCGCATGTTGCATGTACCGCTCCCAAGCCCAGGACACCTCTCTCCGCAGTCACTTTGGAGAGGAAGTGATGCTTTGTGATATTAATGCGTATATTTTCTAGAGATCTGAAGCAAGACGCTAGCATTAACGGAAGAAAAGCGACAGTACTTTGAGCCCATGCTTACATCAGGAGCCTGTAGAAAACGAACAGCAAGTCACATAAACACCCAGAGTTACGATGCTTGGCACCGTGGCCGCGAGGCACCTGGCGGGACGCAGGCAGAATTTGAACGGAATCCGTTCCAGGGCTGTATGACGGGAGTTCGAACCCTTTTTCCAGATAATTCTAGACGCGTCAGCCAAACGTTTAAAACGTACAGTTTTTGTGGTGCCGTGTGATATGTATGCAGCATAGATTCAGGTCATTCACCAGCTCCACAGGTGCATGCAGGGGTACAAGTAATCACACTTGACACGACGGGATGATACAGGGACTTAACAGCAGAAGACAGGGTGAACAGGGAACCAACACCGGAACGTTGTGAATAAGTAAAAAACTCGCTGCCGCCAATACCAGATGTTTTATGCGGAAGATAGGCTTTTCAAACGTGAATGCTAGGAGAAAAACACGTTAACGAATGAATGCAATGCAAGCAATCGCTTTCGCGATTAAATGTGGTACGAAGAACCGCGTGCACGAAGAAATCGTATGCGTCTGCGATACCAATAAATGCGATGCAAAGAATTGGGCAAGCAAAGAGATTGGGTGCGAAGAATCACATGATCATATACAATCACTTGCGATGCGGCGATTCCATGCGAATATTTGTCTACATATTTTGCTCACGAAAACTATGATGTAAAGGCGTGTTTACAAATGTGTTCACAAAGAAAAGCGCTAGGAATAAGCGAGACAAAGTTCTGGCGCTCCGCTCCCTCATATCATCTGTGACAAAAGCGCTTCAGCCGCAGTTTCTGAACAGAAGTACGTCGGTCTCACTTTAAAAAGCCAAAGTGAATTACGTTAAGCGTTTTTACCGTTGGTTTGTTTTGTTTTGTTTGTTGTTTTTCTGGAGGTGAGCGTGGAGCCGAATGATAAACTGCCGCTTCAGCAGCATCTTGGTTGAAAGATATTGGCCCTATAAAGGGGAGTTTTGGGGATTACTGCGCATCCCGTGTCGGAAACGCTTAGTCTGTTAAAGATTACCTGTGTAGTTCGATATCTACCTAAAATGCGACGGTTCCCCTTGAATGATCTGCAGGTAATTACAGCGATGCCAGAGCTAGATGACTACGTTTAGTTGGTAACTTTATGAAATATCAGCCGTGGGTGCAAAATGACCATTGAAGTCGACGCGCCCGAAAACACCAATGAACAACAACATTGAATTATCAGCGTAGGAATTTGGTGGGTTTCAGTAATTATGGAATGAACGGTGTTTGGTCAAGAACGATGTCCATTATTACTGTCTGTCTCACAGAGTTTGCTAAGAGTTTGGTCAATAACGACGTCCATTATTACTGTTTGTCTCACAGAGTTTGATAAGAGTTAAGAGATTGGAATCCCTTCAAAGAGCAAATAAAGGGTGGAATATTTAGTGCAGCTGATGTTTCTTGCTACTTATTATTCGGCATTGAAATTGCTGAAGTTGCTGCAAGCGTTAGATTCATCTTCGACAAAATGTTTGATACCCTTCGGTGTCGACCGCTGTTTTGTGCACGTTACAAACCAGTTCAGATTTAATCACGACCGAAACGAGAGGCCCAGTGCTGAGAACAAGAAAATGACTGTCGATATGAACAGCCCGGTCCGGCTGTCTCGTCGTCACAAAACTCATGTTAATGCAGTTATTGGTTGCTGTGTCACGCAGGTTTTGCCAACCAGAATCACGCTTCTTTGATAAGTGTGCTGTGTTATTGGGAAGATATTTACGTGTGATTTGATTAACGTGAGGCACGTGATACCTGTTGAATTTCACGATCTTTTCGCATGTATACGAAATGATCCACAACACGGGTCAAGACCGGGCCGATATCTTCACGGCGCGACGTCACAGTGAAATAAGATTAACATATGTTGACTGAAAAGAGGGCAATGGCCTTTGCCACCTTGTGGGGCGATGCGTGCTTCCTGCTCCGCGTACTCGTGCGTAAGCCATGGGACGATCATCGATCAGACCGTGGAATGGTGTCTTGAGATTTTCTTATATATTGCTGTCATATATCGGCAACCAGAGCAGATCGGTCCCTCCCTGGGTCGGGGAAGGACCACTGGCGGAGACCTGGATCCGGGAGGGACCAGCGGCGGATACCTAGATCTGGGAGGAACCACTGGCAGAGACCTGGATCCGGAGGGACCAGCGGCGGATACCTAGATCCGGAAGGGACTACTGGCAGAGACCTGGATCCGGAGGGACCAGCGGCGGATACCTGGATCCGGAAGGGACCACTGGCAGAGACTTGGATCCGTAGGGACCAGCGGCGGATACCTAGATCCGGAAGGGACCACTGGCAGATACCCGAATCCGGAGGGGACCACTGGAGGAGGCCTGCATCCGGGAGGACCAGCGGCGGAGATCTACATCAGGGAGGGACCACTGGCAGGGACATCGATCCGGGCGGGATCAGTGGTCGCGTAGGATACCGTGTCTCGAGGCTTGAGACTGTCCACTGGCCGCCTGGTTAAGGGCCATGTATAACCCTGCCCCCGGGATGGTATTTGGTGCCAAGAACGATACCTTTGTAGTTTGGCTGGTTGAAAAGAAGGGCTCACGTATGGCTTGTCCTTGAAAACTTCCGCGTGTTTACCGAGGGCTGTGGTTCCCTTTGCTGCAGATTAAGCTGCAAAAGTCCGCAAAGTTCTGTGGTGTGATGAACGAACAGTGTGCGTGTTATGCTTTGGGGCGCGTCGACTTGAAGGCCGCATAACAAAGTTGAACAGAACCCTGAAATTGACCACGTTGGCAGAACGTCCCGTGCTGTTGAGTGACTCAAAAATGTGCCTTGACCTGCGGAGGGAGCCAGCCAACCAACCATGGTCGTTATTCATGCTTAGGGGATTAATTGAAATCATATTATCCCCTCCACTCCCTACGCTGCTCAGTGATGGTGAAGTCTTCCGTGTGCCTTTTCGAAACATGACATTTTATCTTAAGTAACGACCAAAATGGCGTTGACGGTTCCCGCTCTCCTCAACAAAATGGCTGCGAGACATTCGCTGGCCTGAATGATGGCGTTGAGGTCAGCTGTGTTATGTCAGCTTCTTGGAAGGGCTTGTTGCTTATGTTAAATCCATTGCAGATTGCCAGCGTTGTTGGTGTCAGGTGACTGTTAATGGCCTGCACGAGACGTATACTTGTGTGCAGCCCCCAAAACGGTCGCCCTTATTCCAGGCACCGGTCCCCGAAGCAGCAATGGTGGATGAAGCTCCGCCCCCTGATGCGCATTCTGGCCCAGCACACGGCCACGTACGAGGAAGACAACGTGGTCTTGGACCTTGAGGCCAAGGAGAAGGAGAGGGAAAAAGACCATTCAAGGCACTACTACTAGCCAATCGGAGGCGCAGGGCGGGGCTCTGAGCCTGATGGCAGCCAATGGCGTGCCAGCAGCGGTAGACATCGGTAGCTACTACCATTGTCGCCTAGTCGCTTCACGGATCTTCAAATTTTTGAGCATTAGAAATATTAGTCATGTTAAATCGTCTTTGTTGTGAGTCGAGGGATCGCTGCTGTTTTAAGTCGCCTACTGTGGCCCCATCGGTTAGTCCTGTAGTGTTTATTGCTGCCGCTGGCCGCCTGCGAACGCTCACCGTATTTGTTCAAACACAGGCGCAGGCACGCTTGTGTTGCCGTGAATTAACAGGCAGACGAGGCTTTCAGTGGACGATGGTGTGCGAGTCTGTCCTGTCGGACATTAAATTCGTGGCGTCTGTAAACGGTGCGCTTAATAGGGCTTATTGACTTGTTTGTTGACCCCCGAAGATTCGCTGCAGGACTTGTGCCCCCGACTTCATATCGCTATCAAAGACAGTTACGTTGTGTTATTATTGCTCCCTACTGGATTGTTCAACAATATATCAGCATTCCCCTGTGCTCGCTATACAGGAAATCCGCGGTCACGAATGAGAAGTACGTCCACTCGAACAAAGCTTGAAGTTGTGTCAGGCTCTCAACGATGGCAACGCACGCCGATGTCGGTTAGGATATCAGCATGCATTGAAATGGAAAGCCTGTGCCCAACAAGTGGCTAGAAGTGAAAGCGGGAGCGGGCAGGCTAGGCGTCAAGAATGATAGAAATCGAATAGTTCGAAGAGCATTTCGAAGTCTAGACATGCAATTTAAGAAGTCAAGTAAAAGGTCGTGGCAAGCCATTATCTCACAGCCTTCGAGTAAACTCCAATACATGTAAATGTACGAAGACAAGGTATAATTGAGTACCATAATCGAAATTGCGGTGCGTTATATTCCAGTTTAATGAACTCGGCGTTCCTTTCTTTGCTACTTCTCTCCTCGACGCTCCGTGTTGTAAGCTTTTCCCGCTTGCTATTTCTCTCCTCGACGCTCCGTGTTGTAGGCTTTTCCCGCTTGCTACTTCCTCCTCGACGCTCCGTGTTGTAAGCTTTTCCCGCTTGCTACTTCGCTCCTCGACGCTCCGTGTTGTAAGCTTTTCCTGCTTGCTACTTCCTCCTCGACGCTCCGTGTTGTAAGCTTTTCCCGCTTGCTACTTCGCTCCTCGACGCTCCGTGTTGTAAGCTTTTCCCGCTTGCTACTTCGCTCCTCGACGCTCCGTGTTGTAAGCTTTTCCCGCTTGCCCGTTCCTTTCGAGGTATTTTCTCGTACTTTTCACTCCATGCCCTTGAAAATACCGGGCCGTCCAAGTTTTCTAGAACAAACAAACAGTAGATTCCAGGAAGAAGCCCTCTGACCCCCATAAATCAGGAACGATTGAAATGTTGCAAACTGTGCATTTTGTCACGGTGGTCATCGCTGTTTGGCCTAAAACCATGGGTGTTTCTGTGTCTGAGATTGGGGGGGGGGGGGGTATCAGAATGGAGGGGAGGGTACAAACTAAAATATGCGGAACAACTTGATCTGAAAATGTGTTTTAAATGTGAATGCATGGCTAACATGGAAATTGTAGGGGACTAAATTCCATTGTGTTGAAGTTTGAGGACACGCCAACCCCCCACCCCAACCCCCCAATCCTTACCCCCGTCCTCTAGCGGTTTCACACGCGGTTAAAACACTGCGATGACGCATGTACCAGTACCCCGTACCCGAGCAGTTCCAGAGCCCAAGGGAACGCCCACACTTAACAGAGTTTCTTAAGCATAAACAGAGAAGCAATTCAAGAATAAATGATACCAGAGGCATCAAAAAGGTGTCCTACGGCCTCGTGGGCTGCATGTGAGCCCTGGCTTGTCTGCTTCTTGGGTGAACTCATCGAGCCGCTGACAGGACGGATACGCCTAGGTTGCGGCGACTGATGAGGCCAGCGTTTCCTCATCGGCTTGTATCTTGCTGCTGCTATTGCGCGTTAATCTGAGCTAAATGCGTTGCGTCTTCTAAGTCACCAAAGATTGAGCACATTTTTAAACATTGTATTTTACAAGTCAGGGATGCACCACCCCCAAATACGTACACAAAAAGCTATCATGAACAAGTCGAACAGAGCCCGCATCCCCGGTATGTTTCGTGTACGTGGTAGTGGGTCACTTGGCAGCCAACTCAGCACGCGGCGGCGCGCCAGGCGTTCTCCACGAGTTCGCTTTCCGGAACGCTGTGGCCACGCTTTAGAGGCAACACGGACCCTGACTTGCATTCTCTGAGTATAGACAGCGCAGAGCACCACGACGCGTGACAGCCCTGGTGCATTCACGCCTGGAGCACCTCACACCGAAGCTCCACAGCCTGGCGCTGGTCCCCGCTCGGGTCATCTGTTAGCGCTCGCCAGCGCGCGTGCGCGTGCGTACATGCGGCGCTCCCGAGGCGTCAGCAATCGCGAACCCGCCTCTCAACCGCCGCGTCGCACTCGACACGCGCCTTGCCCCAGTCGCGATGACGCCTGGTGGGAGTAGTCCGGCGTGCGGACGCCGCCGGGTGGACCGTCGACCGTCGCTGCCACACCACCAGTCTCGTCAAGGGGCGTGCGCCGGGCCCCAGCGGACGCCGCTGCTTCGTCCCATCGCGCGCGTCCTCCGACCGAAGGCGTGGCTGGAGCGTCCGCCGGTCGCTTTAGATGAATACGCTGTCCCGGAGCGAACGTGAGCAACACCGCTGTCTGAGGCTGCTCTGCTCCCGATGTTCAGAAGCATGGCGCACGCGGTCGGCACCGGGAAGCTCGCGCAAGATCGTCAGCTTCGTGCGGAGACACCACCAGGCCGCCAGTTCCGCGCGGGGCGGGTGTCATCTGGCTGCCAGCTCCCCACCACGCGCGCGCCGTGCAGAGACACCACCAGGCCGCCAGCTCCGCGCGCGTCCCTCCGCACCGAGCGGGCGCCGCAGCACTGTGTGGGCGGGCGGCAGACGGCTGCGACCGCCCGCGGTCCGGCTATCACCAGACCACCAGTTCCGAGTTGCTGCCGCTGCCCTCGCTGCCGTAGCTGCTGTCGAAGCTGCCGGTCAGCATGGGCATCTTCTCCTGCTCCTGTTCGCCCTTCTCGTTGGCCGACTGCAGCTCCCGGAACGTGCGCCGCCGTCGAACGCACAAGAAAAGCGCCACCACCAAAAACTGAAACACACAGGAGCGCTGTCACCGCCACTGAATGGGACCTACGCAGGTCACGTGTCGCCCGCTACTGGACACTGAGCTGGGCAGCGGCTGTGCGGGAGGCCGCGCGTCTGCGCCGCCCCAGACCGCCGCAGAAAAAAGCGCAATATTGAGTGAACGTGCAGCGTGCCGGGCGGAGCTGCAAACAGACTCGTGCGCCGTCGATCACCTGTCAGCGCCACCCGCAAGACCTTCACCAGCAACATCCTTCGACCCCTTCACCAGCACCACCCGCCCGTCCCTCACCAGCACCACCCGCTCATCCCTCACCAGCACCACTCGCCCACACCTCACCAGCACCACCCGCCCGTCCCTCACCAGCACCACCCGCCCGTCCCTCACCAGCACCACCCGCTCATCCCTCACCAGCACCACTCGCCCACACCTCACCAGCACCACCCGCCCGTCCCTCACCAGCATCACCCGCCCGTCCCTCACCAGCACCGCCCGCTCACTCCTCACCAGCAATGTGTGCGTGACGATAATCATCAGCGTGGCGTATTCGAAGCCGAAGTGGTCGTACAGGATGCCGGCCAGCGACGGTCCGATGAAGGCGCCGAGCGCAAACATCGACGTCCACAGGCCGGACACCATGCTGTACGTGTCTAGGTTGTCCGGGAAGCCATTGTACCTGCACGGAGGAGTGCGCTTAGTGGAGGCGCGACGCGGGTGTAAGGAGGGTGTCCGGCTGTCGAATGACACCGACCAGGTGCTCACTGCGGTGGCCTCCAGGGGGTTGCGGCACGTGGCACACTAATCCTCGAAGTGTTGTCTCGCGCAGCTCATGCGTCGTAACTTTCAATGTTGGAACACATGCGGGAGCACGAAGGTGAAAAAAATTGCAGACACTGCATGTGATACGCTGGCACCCGTCGTCCATTTCAAGCGTCTTTACCATTGGGCATGCAGACGAAAGCGCGCTGACGATCGTTTTGCATTATCCACTCGGGCCGTGTCAAAAACCGTAAAAGTGGTGAACGACGCTTCGTTGATTCAGACTGTCTCAGAAACCGATGTGGCGGCAAACTACACGGACATTGTTGTGCGCCTCTCGATCCTGACCCGCAGAGAGCATTCACCCGCACTGGGGGGCCTGCCCGCACGACGAACTTACACAGCCTCTCGGTGCGCGTCCACGAACGCGGCGACCACCTCACCGCCGAAGCCGACGCCGTGGATGACCAGAGCAACACTGATGAGGCCCAGTGATCTGCCGGGCACGACGACAGGTCAGACAGTGTCCGCCGAGTCACGCGGGACCGAAACGGAGACGAATCCCGCTCATGCACCCCTTGCAGACATTTCAAGAGGTAGAAAAATGCAGAGGACAGCTGAAAAACGAGCAAAAGCAGTTTCATTGTTAACAGTCTGTGCAGATTACGAGTCAACTTGGCGCCACTGCATCGAAAAATAGTCAGAAGAGCAACGATTCATGTATATCAAATACGCGTAGTCGTTCAAACATTCAACTCAAGCCGCATGACTCTCACGGAAAAGTAGAACGCGGATCGGGGCGTCGCCGGCGATCGCGCCGCCCGAGGGACGACCGACCCGAGTGGCGCCACCCGGGAGACGACTGGTCCGAGCGGCGCCGTCTGGGGGACGACCGGTCTGGGCGGCGCCGTCTAGGGGGGGGGGGGGCAACCGGCCCGAGCGGCGCCACCCGGGGGACGACCGACCCGAGCGGCGCCATCCGAGGGACGACTGGTGTGAGCGGCGCCGCCCGAGGGACGACCGGCCCGAGCGACGCCGCGAGGGACAGTACTTACGGCGCTAGCCCCAGGAACGGGGCGGGGCCGAGCAGCGCGAACCCGACCGTCACCAGCACGGCGCTGATGGCCGTCGCCACCTTGGGCTGCAGGTGGTGGTCGCAGAGCCAGCCCCAGATTGGCGCGCACAGGGCGTACACGGCGCCGTTGATGACGAACATAAGCCCGAGTACCACCGGCTTCAGTTCGAACTGCCGGCGACGGTAGGGGGGTCAGGTGGGGCTGGTCGGGCAGCTTCTGAGAAGGCAGCTGCGCTGATGGAAACGAGGGTGAGTCGGGCCACGACGGCCCGGCGACGTCAGGCAAGACAGTATTGTGTCGAACGAACTCAGTCCACACCTGTAAAAATGTCGAACAATTCTGGCTTATCGCAACGATACTGAAGAGCGTGGGCGCTCCTTCCAGATACCTATGCCAGAGGCAAGTCAGAAGACAAGCACGACAGAGAGGGGGATGGAAACAAAGTAAGAGAGAGAGAGAGAGAGAGAGAGAGAGAGAGAGAGAGAGAGAGAGAGAGAGAGAGAGAGAGAGAGAGAGAGAGAGAGAGAGAGAGAGAGAGAGAGAGAGAGAGAGAGAGAGAGAGAGAGAGAGAGAGAGAGAGAGAGAGAGAGAGAGAGAGAGAGGAGAGAG